AGTCCTTGTCTAAACGGGGATTCACGCATTCTAGAAAGTGTTCAAAAGAAGGCAACACGTATGGTTCACGGCATAGCTAGCTTATCAACGAGGAAAGACTAGACAGTTTAAATCTCTTCTCACTGTCATACCGTAGGCAGACAGGAGATTTAATCACAATGTTTATAATTTTAAATAATGACTACGGACCTGACCTATTCTCTCTTTTCCTCCCCACCAGGTCGGAACACCTTAGAGGATATAGCAGGAAAGTTCAAAAGTAAAAGAGAAATCATATTGCTGTTGAGTACTGGTTCTCATATCGAGTCATAAACCCTTGGAACCGACTCCCAGAAGAAGTGGTGTCTGCAACCTCAACTGATTCGTTCAAGAAGGGCTTGGACAACCACAGAAATCTACTAGAAAAGGATTAACATAGGCTCCAAGCCTTCTATCCTCAACCAATAAATCTGAATCTGAAATCCGAAACACTCCTCATTTTTGTGATTGGTTGGCTGATCGTGCGTTCAGGTGACTCTAAAGAATAGCGGCCCAAAGCGAAACGACCTTCGAACAAAAAAGTGACCTTGAGCAAGGAATCAGCTGACTGTATCATTTTCGGAAGTAATCATGGATGTTTTCGATTACTGTTTGGATAACGGACTCATAGCTTTGTCGAAAACTTGCCAGTGCGGAGGAGTTATGCATATACAAATATAAGCAAAGGCCATCGATGGCTTTGTATAGAGATGTATTGAGTGCCGAAGGAGGAAATCGGTTCGAGATGGTTTGTCGTTGTTTTTTAGTTTACAGATCCCTTAGGAACTTTTTTCTCTAGGTCTAAACTACCGTTAACGAAAATCTTAATGATATGTAACTTCTGGGTCCTCAAAAGACCAGTTACAGCTACGGCTTACGAAACAGAAAATTCAGAGGTGTCGGCAGTGGAGTGGTACAATTACTGCAGAGATGTTTCCTCGTGGAAAATGAACAGTCTGACTCAAGTTCTTGGAGGAGTCGGTGTAATCGTACATATTGATGAAACTGTATTGATAAAAAGGAAATATAACCGGGGGAGATTACAATCCAACCAGCAGTGGATATTGGGTATATACGACACAACACTACAAAAAGGGTATATAGAGGCGATTCCAAATCGCAGTGCAGGTGTATTATTGCCTATTATTCAGCGTTTGGTGCTGCCTGGGACGACTATTCACACAGATGAATGGAGTGCCTACCGTCAATTATCCAATCATGGGTATATTCATCATGTCGTCAATCACGCGGAGGGTTTCAGGAATCCTGTGGATGGAACGCACACTAATTCCATCGAAAGTTTATGGAGTCGTCTGAAAAGACGGATAAGAGCTGTTAATGGATCAAGAAATCCAATGATTTACAGTTATCTAGATGAATTTATGTATAGAAACTGGTTTAATATGACAATGAAGACTCCTATGAGAAACTGGGATGTTTTTTTGCAACATATACGCGAACGTTATCCTTTGTAACTATTTATTATGACTGCATTACTTATATATAAACCGTTTTTTACAATTATGCGCCTTTCATTTTGAGCCTTCTCATTGGTCGAAGTTGTCCCTGTCAAGGTCATTTTTGCGTTGAAAGGTCGTTTCGGTTTGGGCCGCTATTCTTTAGAGTCACCGTGCGTTCACATCCCTTGGGACGCTATTGTTGAACTTTGCCGAAAAATGTGATGTTTATGCGATTTTTATTATTATCATATCAAAGCCCGCCTCAGTAACGTGTGCTACGTATTAGCCGCAGCGTTTACGCAAAGGAAAATCTACCAATCACAATATGCATAAGCGACCTTGAAGTGCGCAGCCTCCCCTCAAGCCCTGTGTGCCACCATCCATTGCCAAACTCACACTTATATCACGCCCCCTTCGGCTTCTTCCTTCTCCGGTTGTGACTGTTGCTATTGTGTATAACGCATAAATTTTGGTGTTGCAAATGCCTAGAGGTGAGTAATGCAGTTTTTTCTCGTGTCTGTTCCAATAATTTTCCCCCTTAACAATAATTCAACTTATATAAGTTGATATATATCTGGGTAGTCAGTTGTATTTATAGCATGCTTCCTGATTTTGGTGGTGTTTTTACTTTAACGTCTTTAGTTCAAAGTAGAATCCCTCAATGTATAAAATTCCAGCGACCAAATTCAACCTGGCAGTAGCTCGACATACCATTTCATTATCTGGGCGTAAGCCCAGTATGTTTCCTTGGTATCCTTTCTGATTCGTGCATTGTACCTATCTGGGTTTTGTCAAAATCTTTTCATTTTCCTAAACGTTCTCAAAGGGGACCGGTACCATTAATACTATAGTATTAAGTTCTGTCCAGTGCGTGAGGCTGATTTGTGTAGTTTATTCACCAGTAACTTCTGAATTGTAGTATGGACTAAAAATACTTGATTTAGGGTCAGGATTAGAAGTAAGCTCCTCTATTTCTTTGCGACATAATGTTAATGTATAGACTTTCCATTCTTTCTGCTCATGGAAAGTAGAAAGTCAGTTTCTCTCATCTTTGCATATAAATTTTAGCATACATTTGGTTATACCATCTTCAAAGCAGTATCTAAAGCATCGGGTCGATTACAAAGATTTATATGGTTGGATGAAAGGCAGTGCAGTGTCCTCGAACTGTCGAGTTGTGACTGCTATGAACCAGCCCTTTTTGCTACCTGATCCATAGATTAAATACGAATCAGACCAGATTAATTTATGTTGCCGCATTTTGTCGTAATCGATTCCCGAATTCAACTAACTAAAACTGTCATTTTCTCGGAGTCGAGCTGAAGTGCTCATCGAAATTTGCTGTCGTGGGTGGTCCTCCGAAGTTAACTATCGTTAGATGATAGCGAAATAGTTCTTTATCATATGGGAAAAATGAAGTCAATAACAAAGTCATGAGAGGGATTCTACTAACCAGAGTTTCTTGCTCAGATAATATATCGTTAGCACTTAAGAGCGTGTGGGCTTTCCTGATAAACTTATGCAGGACAGTTTGTCCTGCCTTCACCGGTTGTTTAAGAAATCGATTTTCGTCACATGCATAAAGTCTCTTTACTGCAAGTCTTCAACACGAGTCCCACATAGGTTAACTCTTAGCCTACAGTACATCTATAAACAGTGAAAACTTGTAATCACTTATTCACACCTATTGGTGATTTATGATAGTTAACAATTAGCGTGGTGATTGAGGTTCTAAAGTTGTTCACGTGTGAGAAAACTAAAACAGTGGAAAGTAATGTATCTGACTTCCGGTATACCTCAACGAAATGTTTGTGTGAATGAGATACTAGTGGGAGGATTTCAACTTGAAAACATGAAATGCGTAAACCACTGTGAAAGAAGGGAACCCCGTTCCTTGACAAGTTCCCACTAGGATGTAGTTCTTGCTTTCTTTTCGCCGTTCACGCTGGTGAAAGTGGGAACCCGACGTCTCGTAGCGTCTCGAGGATCCCAGAAGAACACTTTACACCTCCGTCCCTATTTCAAACTAAGAGTAAGAAGTTGCATCGGTTGATGCCAGGTTTTGGTCTTACCACCCGTACCTGTCTTCCAAGTTAATTCTCTGTCGACTGACATTACTCAACGGAAGAGATAATGGCTCGGTATGTGTAGCACGTGCTCTAATCATCTCAGTCTATGCAGCTTCACAACATCATTGATAGACTAGTCCTCTTCACGTGACAGTACGACACACTATGCCACTTAACGCTGAAGATAGGGCTCCATAGCCTGTAATTAGAGACAGCAGACTTCTTCACGTCCCCTGCTTTAAACGGTCGCATCGCATTCATAAGAAGGGAGAGCGAAATGCTGCGCAGTGCACACGACCTTCTATGGATAGCCGAACATCACATCGTTTGGTACAAATATGCAAACTTACTTTTTGGTGACGGTGAGAATATACCACAAGTCGATGTATTGGGCGTCAGTGGTGTAAAATGTGTACTGCGACAGTACACACTGACGACAGATTACTTGAGATGTAGTTCAAAGTAGTCTAAATGGAAGTTAAGTGTGTTCTATTGTGATAACTACCTTTCACTAGATTTTGAAGCCTTTTCTAACTTGATTTATTGACCTTATGAAGATTATGTTATGATTCGAACTTACTCATTTTATGCGGATTTTTAAACCTACACACTATTCCCTCTAATAACTCGGCATATTCGTCAACATCAAACATCTTATGTATTGAATAAGTTTAGAGCGATTGTACTGCTAACAGTTGAAACATCGCTGTCGACTCAACCTTTGACACATCTAAGCTACTTAGCATCACTTCTGAGAGGTTTTCAATCGAGAGAAAACCAACTTCCTCTTCCATTAGTTACACAGAAATTTCTCACACCTAAATCTGGTCTGGTAATTCGAAGGTAAGTGTAGGCCATATCTTCATCCTTCGATGGATTCTAGAACACGCCCATACTTATCAGCACCCGACATTTGCCATATTTGTTGACCTGCAAGCAGAATTCGACTTCGCCGAACGAGAGGTGCTGTCGCAATATTTGGTCGTGAAAGTATATCGTACTAATGAGGGCACTACTAGAGGTCACGCAGCCATGCAGGAGTTTATGGAAAGTTTTCATTTAAGTGATAACTACTAGTGGTATCGTGTATGAATGTACCCACTTTTTGTTTAATGTCATCACAGGGGTACTACGGGAGGTGGCACTTGGTGAATCCTACGTCACAGGGATTTACTAATTACCTGGAAGTGTCGGTGATGTCCAACATGCAGATAATACAGTGCTTATAGGTGGAGGGAGATGTGGACAAAATGCGAACTCCTCTAAATATCTTGAGCAGAAATCTTAGTATGTTTGTCATGTGGTTAACTCCTACCACATATAAGATGATGCTGTAAGACTGACCTTCACCTACTTCCAGCTTGAAGAAAGGGAGTTTCATCAGCCCAGACATAAGAGGCTGGTGTGGCGTTTGCCAACTTGTACCATCTTTAGCGAAAACGTCATACCTAGCTATCGATCGCCTTGCTAGACGAGCGATGTTAGCAGCAATAGGATTAGGTTGGAAAGGAGTTGGGAGCAGTCCATGAAGTCGGCAGTTGGTTTGAGCTAGCCACGTAGGGAAGGAAATAGAAGCTACCTGGTTGAGATCCTTGTGATAGTAAGAAAGCATGTCTGAAGACCATTTGTGGTATGGTTCATGGTCGTTCTGAGTAACACAGATGCATTCACTCTTTGTGATTTTCCATATCCACTAAGCCGTGCTACTATTCCATTTTTACTCATTTCCGTTAATTGTAGTCCCTTGGATCTCATTATTTCATCTCTTTCGTCTGACTTTGTGTGTTACATGGAGTATGGGAACTTGAACGGCTGTGCTCAGTCCCATGTGAGAACTTAGTTTTTTAATCAAAAGTCCTTCTCAATTGTGTGCACCACTTTCAAGCATCGGCTCTGCAAACGGCACTGGCGATTTGAGTTCGCAAGTTAGGATATCTGGTTCTATAGAGCGTCACTCACTACATTTTACAACTTACATTGTCTGCACCTTTCCCTAAGTGAGCTATAAAAGCCTCATAAACCGAAAGGTTAAGACCCTAATCATCAGTGTTTGCTGCATCTAAAACACATACAGGATTGAATTGCCTTTTAGATTTTTATGGCTCTTAAGTCAGATTAGTCGTTAACTTATCGTTAGTGAAAAGTATCAAATAACTTCTGAGTGTAGTGTGATTTCGCACCTGAAGTTATATCAGTTTTAGTTTGTGAAGCAGAGTAGGATGACTTGTCTCTCCAATTTGATGACTTGATTACAACTGTTGAAAATGTCAAATAGATAATAACCTAGAACTACCACGTTAGCAACGCCAAACTAATTCCTAAACAACGGTAGTTATAAGCCTTCCGTTGTCTGATGTGATTGGCGGGTGTGTTACAACACGTACCTGCTCAACTTGGTTTATTCGAAGAGTGTGAAATATAAAGTGAATGAGAAAAAGTTGACGAACCCAAGACAGTACATCAGATAACGAAAAGGCCGGCAGCTAGTCCGAGCCGTGTACTTTTCCGGACTGGAGCATACTTTGCCACAATCTTGCGTCATCTAACGGGCTTACTAATTATCTCCATCTTAATTTATTATTTCAATTTGCCGGTAAGAGATTGTATCCTAAAACACCTTATTACTTTCAACCTGGTATGAGAATGTGAGATTTGGTCACTGTACACAACTGCAACATTCTGTTGATAACATACCATATATCGTAACTTCCCTTTTACAGACCACGAGAGACGCGCCCGCTCCAGGTCACATGACCGACACAGAAGTCGTGGTGATATACATGAGCGTTCGCGGAGACGTCAAGATCGCAGAGATCGCGACTACGATGAAAGAGACGTGGACAGAGACAGGCATCGACATGAAAGAGAGAGGAGAGATCGCGATGGCCGAAGGAAACAAGAACACAACCACAGCGAGGAGAAGTGGAAACGTCGTTCACGGTCTCGTAGTCCTGTGACTAAGACTGAGAAAGAGGTTGTGGAATATGTGGAAGGTAATCCTTTTTCGTTATATGACCACTTTATCTTTCAGAAGCACCAGTAGAACCTGAAACTGAGGAAGAAGCTGAGATGTTACGCACGATAGGCTTCTGCAGTTTCGGTACAACTAAAGGGAAGCATGTGATTGGGAACAATATTTATGTAGCCAATATAGCTAAACAGCGGAAGTACCGTCAGTATATGAACCGGCGAGGAGGTTTTAATCGACCTCTCGACCCTGTTGCTTAAATATTGTGTTGTATGTATTACTGTTTTCGTCTCAAGACGCTAGTTAAAACAAAAAGGTGGTCAACAAAAGATTTGTGTAAATAAAATTCTAACATTTTGTAAGTATTAAACTTTATAGATGTGATAACCATGCACTATGTGATGCTTGGTTACAGTTTACAATACAGATTAACGCCAGAAATAATAGGCGCATTGAAGAGTTCGCTATTCTCTGTTCGATACACTTTGTGTTTAGAGTGAGCTAACTTTTACTGTGTCATTGCAACTAACTGGTTCTGGTTGGTGTCACCGTGTAGAATTTCATCTTAATTCTGTCAACTTCCATCCTGTCTAGTCAGAGCCGTGTTTTATATTGCATGGTGATGTGTGGGGAGCGCGAAGAGGGGGAAGTCAAGAAGACTTCAATTGTTATTCGTTAACGTACCGCGATAACAAAACGCTACGTCTGCTATTCACATTATCTGTGGTGCAGTAGTACGAAAAACTACCTAGAAAATATGATGCAGACACCAAGTAGTCAGTACACTGACGTTTACAGACATGTTGTTGACATCAATACTGATGAAAGTTATCTTCTTACACTTTATGTACAAAATCTACATGAGGGTCTCACTACCTGGAAAGTTTCGGCGCGAGACCAGCAACCCGACCCTGTGAAACGCAACCTAGTGGGTTTAGGAGAGAGAAATAACTGATAGCAGTGGTTTAGTTGTGAAGGTTTCATTGTCCTTCTAAACAATTCATCAAATTTCGGTAGAACTCGTCAGCTGAATACTCTACATACACGGATACTTTTGAAATTACATTGGGAGATATAAGACTGATAAGTAAACAAACTACATTGAATTAGTCATGCAGAAAGACACGTGCGAATGTTTTCCAGGTCATGTTCAAATAGATTAGGGGAGAGAGAGTATGAGAGATCAAAATTAAGATAAATTGCATTACGCTTCAGTTACGTCACTTAGATAAACAATTAGTCACTAGGGAATATAACGAGAATTGCAAACAGACTAATATCAATAGTAATAGTTATAGTAACAGTTTTAATAGTGTTGAAGTGAGTTAAGATAATCTTACTGATCAAGCATAGTTTTAGATGAATCAAGAATAATAATGATAATAATGGTAATAATAATAACAATAATAGTAAGAAGAAGAGGTTGAATAATAACAAGTAGAGAATAAAACGTATTACCATGGTAGATTAAGAGTCACGACCATCTCCTTTTGTATACAGAAAGCTGGTTTATAAATTCGAATCGCACAAGCCTCTGCAATTGCAAGCATCTTCTTGTTTCTTTGTTTGCTGACAATGGTAAATGACTTGACTGCGTCGATATCATGTCCGTAATCTACAAGATGTTTTGTTATTGAGGATTTTGGCACTTTGAACTCAGCTGTTTTCAACCATTTTGGCAAATGCTCCATCATGCGAGTAGACAATCGCCTTTCCGTACGACCTATGTATTTGCTGCCACAAACACACTCGAATTGATATATGCAGTTTGAAGTGTCGAGGATTGGCGACTGGTCTTTCCCAGATTGTTGAAGCACTCGCTTAGTGGTGTTAAGGATAACAAGTTTTGCAGCATAATAAGTTCTCTTGATGGCTTTGTCGAGTCTTCGTTTCACTACTTCTTGTACGTCATCTCCTTTGAACGGCAAATTGATATAGACAGGTTTCTTTGGAACTGTTTGAATTGTTTTGCAGGGGGTAGTTTCTTTAGAGTATTTATTAATGAACTTCTCAGGATATCCATTCTTAGATAAAATATCCTTCAGAGATTTTATTTCCTGTTCAATAGTACTGTTAGAACAAATTTTTCGTGCTCTATTGAACAGTGTTCTGACTAGGTTCTTTTTGTACTGGATTGGGACAAAGCTCTTGAAATGCATGTACTGTCCTGTCCATGAAGACTTTCTAAATATAGATCTTTCGATTGTGCCATCATTCATTTTGGCTAGAAAAACGTCTAGGAATTTCATAGTATCGTTTTCCTCGTGTTCTACTGTGAAATTGAGATTTGGATGGCATGAATTGAATTTTATCAACATGTCTTCCGCTTTTGATCTGCTTTCACAGACAAAAATGTCATCAACATATCTTAGGTATACATCCGTTTCTTGTATATGTTGCTGCAAAGCACCGGTTTCTAGGCGTGACAAGAATAAGTCGGCGAAAAGTGGTCCCAAAGGGCTTCCCATTGCGACACCATCAACTTGACGGAACAGACGCCCGTTGAATTGGAATTGGACATTTTTAGTACATAAAAGTAGTAATTTCCTCAATTCCGATGTTGGAATGGGTATGTCTTCAGCTTCTTTACATATGAAGTCGATAGTCTCAACGACCGGGACATTTGTGAAAAGGGAGGTAACATCGAAAGAGACCAAATGCTTATCGGATACATTGAAATCTTTAATTTGATTGACAAATTGAAATGAATCAGAGACTATATGTGTTCCAAAGCCTCAGGATGGTCGGGGGTGGGTGTCTTGCGCTGCGGGTTGGCCACCCCTCCGCACACCTCTTGAAATGCTCCCATATGACCGTGCGTCTTACATAGCCTCTCCTGAGGAAGTCCTACTCACTGCCTTCACGTGGCGGAGGTGTTTCTCACTAAAGTGAGAGGGCAAAAGCGGATGCCCGGCGCTCTCCACCGGGTTGACTGTCCATTGGATGACAGTCTAGGGGAGATGGCTAAACCCTGATTCCAAACCTTCAACGACTGGCGTATGAAGCTCACTGGAGCTCACCGGCAGACGTATGGACAAAGGGCTTGTTGGATGTCCTGGATGTCTGGCCCCATTCAAAAAGGCGTATGAACCGAACTCCGGTCACCGGCTGCCAATGGATAGTGGACTCCTTACTCCACTCCTACTGCCTTGTAGGTCACACTTGGCTGTGTAAAGGCTAGAGCTGCACTCTCAAACAAAAGGCCGAGCGATGCTGGGGACATCACTCGTACCAAATTCCCAAGAAACTTCATGAACTCTCCTACAAACAACTCTCACCATGCTACGGCGTTCCCGGTAAGCGACGCGCCCTGTGCTCACCCGGTGGCCAGTGTGAAAAGTAAGCTAGCTGGGAAATTAACACTTAGAAACCAACTATTTGTTGGCTGCTGGAATGTTAGGACGCTGTTGGATCCTGGTAGCCAGTCTATCACCATGCGTTCTTTATATGACTACAAGGTAGACATAGCGTGTCTATCTGAAGTGAGGTTACCCGATCATGGCTCCCGCCGAATAGCCGTTCCTGGAACAGATTCTTCATTCTGGTTGCTTCATAGTGGCCCCCAGAATAATTCGGGACAACATGGGGTAGCATTTGCTCTCAGTAACAAAGCCAATAATGCCCTAATATCATTCGAACCGGTCAACTCCAGAGTTGCAGTCGCTAGGTTCAAGGGTTCCCCGCTCGACATTTCTGTTCTCGCTGTCTATGCCCCAACCCTCGACTCTGATGAAAGTATCAAAGACGAATTTTATGACAATCTTCAAGAGGCAATCAACAAAATCCCAAAGCGTGACGTTCTCATAGTAGCCGGCGATTGGAACGCCCGCACTGGCCCTTCAGACGACGCGACAAAACATATACTAGGCAAACACGGTCTCGATCAGCGCTGCCGTAATGGTGATAGACTTTTATCTTTTTCTGATTACAATCGATTATATATCACCAACACTCGATTTCAACACCCCAGAAAACATCTTCTCACCTGGTATTCGAACGACGGTCGCACTGCACATCAGATCGACTACATCCTAGTGCGCTCACGCTGGATCTCCTCGGTGGAAGACTGTCGATCCTATCGTGGCGCAGAGGCCGGAAATAAAGGGGGATCAGACCATACTCTAGTTAGGGCGAAATTCAAACTTCGTTTAACGACACGCCAGAAGACGCGACCTCCGAAGCGTATCAATGTTGCCCCGCTTCAATGTTCTACAAGACGACAAGCCTTGTCCAAACAAATCCAGGCCGAACTAAGCGCCGCAGATGAACCAACATCCACATCTTCTAATACACCCGAGACACGATGGAATCATTTCAAAGAAGTAGTCTCTAAAGCTTCAATGACGCATTTGGGTACCACATCCAAGAAGCAGAAAGACTGGATTTCAGAGCACACCATGCTTCTATCCTCGCAAGCCAGAGACGCTCGCCTAGCAAAGTCTCCAGTTTATCGCTCCCTCAGGCGCAAAGCTACACAGTCTGCTAGGAACGACAGAAATCGCTATTGGTCTAACGTGGCGACTAACATGGAAGCAGCAACAAATGTAGGCGATTTCGGAAAACTTTATCGCCTCTTACGCCAATCATCTGGCAAACGCCTTAACAGTCATGCTGTGTTACGCACAGCATCAGGAGAAATTATTTCGGACACCAATGGTAAGATGGAACGATGGGCCGAACACTTCAAGCAGCTACTCAATCGCGACGCTGGTCAACCGTCTCATCGACCGATACGACACTTACCAACACCCTACGTAGTTGACTGCGATCCACCCACTCCAACCGAAATAGCTAAAACAATTAACACACTCAGAAACAAAAAAGCTCCGGGCGAAGATGGTCTACCCCCAGAAATATACAAGGCCTGCACTCCAGCGCTAATCGATGCACTGCACTCGCTGTTCTGCTCAATTTGGGAGTCCGAAACCATTCCTTCCGATTGGAGCACCTCAGTTCTGCTACCGTTCCACAAAAAGGGAGACAGGTCAATATGCGAGAACTACCGAGGCATAAGTCTGATTGATATCGCTGCTAAGGTTTTTGTTTCCATTCTCCTGAACCGCTTCGCGGCCGAACGCCACGTGCGAACAAGGCCAAATCAAGCCGGATTTCGACCTGGAAGAGGCTGTGTTGATCAATTATTCACACTGCGAAGAATTTTGGAACACAGGGACAAATTCCAACAGCCGACGGTTGCTTGCTTCATCGACTTCCAAGCGGCATTCGACTCAGTTGATCGAGGAGCACTCTGGTATCTAATGGAGCTCGACGGAGTTCCGACCAAGCTAATCAACCTGCTCAGGTCATACTACTCCAACACCAAAGCTCGAGTCCGAGTGAACGGTGAAGAGTCCCGCACTTTTGAGGTAACCAGCGGTGTCCGGCAAGGTTGTCCAGCATCCCCCATCCTGTTCAATTTCACAGTTGATTGGATTTTGCGGCACGCCCTAACCGAGCACCACGGCGTCCAACTTTCGCCCGATATTCACATAACCGACCTCGAATTCGCCGACGACG